GTGAAGTGTCATCTGGGGCAGGCAGAGTAAGAGTAGCAGCATTTTCTGTTTTGTCACATGCATCTATCGGATCGTAAACAGACTGAGAGATCTTGAGGCAGGTGCACATAGGCTATTAGATAGGAATAAAATATAGGCGGCAAATAGGTAAATACGTGTAGATTTGCTCTGTTTGTTTGCTTAAGTGCATCAAGTGGAGTGCAAACGGTAAAAGGTCTTGAGGCAGGTGTGACTCGCTCTCTATTATGGATTAAAAGTGTAAGTGAGTGTAAACAGTGAGAGATGCTGAGACAGGTGAAAGCGTTTGGTTAATCGAATATTGACCTAATGTGCGTAACGTTGTGGCTCCTGCTGTTAGCAGGGGATCGCTACATTTGGGGTAAAAAAGACAGAATTATGTATTGTGCCAAGAAGGTTGCACTGTCTGTTCGTTCACACAGGTACGAAACTGATTGGTAGCTGCCTTTAGCGGAGCTTTTACGGATTACCTCCATTGATCAGAGCATTCGGCACGGTCGTCTGTGAGTGACGTCACCTCCCAATACAAACACGCCCCCTAGTATAGTCCCGCCCCCTCACATTGATTGGCAGCTTTCCATGCAGACATCGGAAATTCAAATGCAAAAGGAATTGCGATTCCATTTGGGTTTTGGCAGGTTACATGCGCGACGCAGCGAGAGTGAAAATGCAGACTGGTAATTAATATTGCTATTTAAATATGACAGGCTCGTAACTCCTAAGACATGGGAAATACAGCTGCAAATGGACTTTGCTTTTTCATTTGAAATTTGGCAGTCACTGTGCGTTCGCGAAAGCGAAAATGCAAACGGTAATGCAGGATTTGCAATTGCATTTGGATTATGTCACAATTTATGCGTCCACATATGGAAAACGCAATTGAAAATACAATTTGCTATTCTATTTGAAAATTGTCCGGAAAATCGTTCCATACTCTATTAAATAATTTACCATTTGGCTTTGACTCAAGAAAATAACTATTGCCTTGTTCATGCGAGAGGCAGATCTGATATTTACACCGCCGACAGCAGCACTCACGGCCACTAGACAATCCTCTACTGATACAGACGCATCAGGCATACATTTGCAGCCATGTCTAATAGTCAGTTGTGAGAAATCACTCGCATTTGTCCCCATTTTCCCCACTCGCTGACCGAAGTCAGCCAAAAAAAGCCTACTAATTTATCAAACACAATTCAAGAAAGGGAAAAAGTAAAAGTTAAACTCAACCACAACAACTCTCACCCATGCCAAACTCTGTTCACCTGCTCCCAGCATGCAACACGCATATATATATATATATATATATATAGAG